ACCCTTGGTCATGCTGTGCCCCCCCTGGGGGCCTCCGACCCTCTCTGCCAGACGTCCCTAATCCCCCAACCTGGCGACTTCCCTCTCGAGATTCCTGGGGCTGAGGACAGCCCAAGGAAGTGGCAGGGACCACACGTCCCTCTTCTGCGTCACCCTCTCCACCTGCAGTGGAGCCTCAGCTCCCAGGGCTGAGTGCCCTCGGCTCTGGCCCTGAGACCAGCACCCCGGGTCCCTGCGCACCCTCCCCGCCCTGGGCATTGGTGAGCCTGGAGCCGTCTCCTCATCCTTTCTGGTCTGATGTTGCGTCTCTGGCTGGGAGTCGGGGCTCAAGGCGTGCGCTGCAGTCTTCATTTACTGGAACATGGTCCTAAAACAAGCAAAGACATTATTTATTGCACAAGCCACCCTCGGAGGAATAACAAAAGGAGGAGAGACTCTTCCCGGGAAGCCGGCTGGCTTCCTGCCTCCCATCAGCCTCACCCACAAGCAGACACCGCCTTCCTTTCCTTTGAGGTGCTCCCAGCACAGAGGAGAACTGCTTGCTCAAAACTCGACCCCCAGCAGCTTCTCCCACTGCTGGTCTTCCTAATTATCAGTTTTAATGGTTGCATAATATTCCATAGGGCTGATTTCATAATTTACAGCCACCCTCCATTATTGGGTGTGTTCAGGAGGTTTGCATTTCATTATTGTCACTTGCCATTTTTTTTGTGGCTGTAGATAAGGCTGCAGTAAACATCGCTGCTCCCTCCCTTACAGGGGACGCTGGAGGGCGTGGATGATGGAGTCCTGGGCTGGGCTGTGTCAGGGCCACGTGGGGGCTAGGACAGGCCCCCCCCAGAGGGTCACAGCCACCCACTGTGTGGGGCTGCTGCTGGGGGCCTGCCCCTCGCCCTCAGTCCTGCGCAGTCTCTCTCTTTCTCTCTGCGCCTCTCTCCCCGAATTTTAGATTGCTCGCGTACTAGGTGTAAGGTGGTACCCACCCTGCCCCCTCCCCCATCTGTGAGCCTTTGACTGCAGCCTTTCCCATCTCTCCTCACTAATTGCAGCCCCTCTGGTGTGGATTCTCTTGCACAGTTTTTGAAGGGTCCTTCACTTCTGAGACCTCCCCAGTCCTGCTCAGGGCACAGGCACCCTAGAGCATCTGTGCAGGTGGTCAGGCGTCGAGCCCCAGTCCTGCGGGGGCCCACCCGGCCCCTTGTGCATGTCAGGGAACTGAGGCCAGAGAGGGCTGGGCCTTCCCCAGCTGCTGGGGCGGGAGGCAGGGATGGGGTTGCCAGGTCTCCTCTGCCCCCCCCCCACAGGATCATGCGAGGGAGGGGTGGCACGGAGCCACCTGCCCCTCCGATCCTCAGCCCTAGGCTCTGCCAGGGTCCCCGGTCCGGGGTCCTTGGTGGACATTCCCACCCCCACCATCCATCCCCCAAGGACCCTGCGCTCGTGGGTGGAGATCAGGGCTGAGTGAGGGGCACCATCCGACACACTCCTCCAGGGCCCCCCAGCAGGGCTGCCAGGTGGGAGAGGGCTGCAGGAGGGCCAGGGTTAGGGGAGGACTCTGTCCACCTGGGAGAAACAGGCTGGTGGCTCAATTATTTCAAAACGGAGCAATTTCCTGCTGTCTCAGCATCAGGCTTTTTACTGCAAGTAGCGTCACAGGGGAGCCGCGTAGAGGCTGCGCCCACACAGGGGCCGCAGGGCCAGAGCCTCAGCCGTGGGGGAGGGGACATCACAGCCATGGGGGAGGGGACGTCACTGCCCTCTGACTGTTGAGCCCCTGCTGTGCCCAGGGCCCTCCTCCCAGGCCGGGGGTGGTGGGACGTGTGAGGGTGTGCACACCTGCGTGAGCTCCTGTGTGTGAGTGCTCGCGTGTGATGTCCATAGCGGTGCCTGCGTGTGCGCGAGTGTGTACGTGCGAGTGTAACGGCACACGCGTGTTGGTGTGAGTGGGTGTTGTGTGCCCACGTGCGCGGGTCTGTGTGTGAGTGCTCGCGCACATCTGCGAATGCTGTCATCGCTCAGGGAGAGGGTGCGGCCGTGCCCAGAGTGTGTCCCGTGCGGACTGTGAGCGCTCCCTACGGGGCGCCCCCTGCCCCCACGCCTCTAGGGCGCCCTGGCCTTCGCCTGGCCACTTTCTGTTCCCGGGAGGCCCTCTGTCTCCGGGCCGCCACCCCCGCCTCGTCTAGGCAGCCTTGCTTAGGCTCAGACTTCCACTGCGCGCCATTTCTGCCGAGAGGAAGCGGGGACTTTGCAGACCCCCAGGCCTGGCCCAAGGTCCTGGGCTCTGTAACCTCAGGTGGTGGAAGCGATGGGCCTGGGCCCAGTTTCCCCACCAGTAACGGAGGGGGAGGGTGCGGCTCTGGTCCCTCAGGACGTAAAGGCTGCTCTTGGTACCAGCTCCCGCCCGCTCTCCCTAAGGGCCCCCTCCACCCTGGCCGGACGGCTGAGGACAGGGCCTGTATGGGAGCCAGGAGGCCCTGGGGCCTCTGGCAGGGACAGCGTGTAACACGAGTGCCCTTGCTCTGAGGCCAGCTCGTGACAGATGGGCGATAAAGGGTGGAAAATAGCTCTGGGCCTGAGGCCTGCAGAGTGTCACCTCCGCTCTGCAACACCCCCCACTGCCGAGGGCACAGCCCCTGATGGTGGGGCTTCTCATATCACTGCCTCTGACCTGTTAGAGGGGGACACTTTGCTCCCCCGGGGGTGGGGAGACCGTGGCCCTTGGGCTGGGGCACAGGGGCTCTCTGGGTGTGCACCTGCCTGGCTGGGCAGATGGTCAGAGGCAGACAAAAGGGCCGGGACCTGCCCAGGCCTCCCCCAGAGCTCCTGCCCAGCCCAGGTGGGCCCTGGGGATGCCCAGCTGGGGGCCTTAAGCTCCAGCCCGCTTTCCAGGAGCAGGGGTCTGACCAGGGCCACACGCCCACAAGGCCCTGGACAGTAGGTGGGTTTGGCTGAGTGCTCCCCTCACTCACTTCCCACCTTGCCTTGGAGCCTTTGGGAAACAGTGCCAGCATCCCTGGGGTCTTTTCAGCCCAGCCCTCCCAGCCCACCAGGCTCCCCGTGGCCTCCAGGGGTGAAGGCTGGGCGTGCTCTCGCCTGGCTCAGTGCCTCAGGCTGACCTCCTGTCCTGCCATCCACCCAGCCCCACCGCTGGTGACATCGCCCCGTGGGCTCCCACCTCCCCACGGCCAGCCTGTCCACACCTTGGGCCCTGCCCACCCCATGTGCCCCGTCTGCTCTGTGACCCTGCCCACTCCACGCGGCCCCCCAACCCATGCCCACCCATGCCTGCTGCCTGCTGGCGGGGCTTGGTCCCATCCAGGGCTCTCTGAGACCCCCCTGCAGTGCCCGGCCTGCTCCAGGGGCCCCGCCTTGGCTCTGATGCCGTGGCTGACGCCGGGCTCAGCACCCACACCTGCTCTGTCACCCTCGAACCCTCCCTGTGCTCATCCACCAGAGGGACCTCGAACTCAGGGGACCGACGAGCTTGCCAAGTCCCGCAGACCTCGGGCTGCCCTGCGCCTGGGCCAGGGCGCTTCCGCGGTCCCGTCACTGGCGACACTGCCTCCGGGGCGTTCGGCTGACGACAGTGGGAGAACCTCGCCCGGACCTCCCCCAGGAGGCTGGAGCTCATGGGGACCGTCCCCCCAACTCACACACCGTGTACAGGTGTACACACCACGACACTCACACACACACCATGTACACGTATACATACCACACGCATTCACACACAGTCACAGACACACTCACACAGTACACACCATACACACATCACACACTCACCCCACATGTGCACACACCACACACATCACATATAAACACACACGCACTGATACACACACACACCACACACGTGCACTCTGACACATGTGTATCTCCACACTCACGCACACCACACACGCAGCGTGTACAAGCACACACGTTCATACGCGCACGCTCTCGCATGCAAGCGCACTGCCCGGCCCACCTGGGCTCCTGCAGGTGCTGCGTCTCCGGGTGAGCTCGCCCACCTGACGGGCCTGCTGTCCGCAGGCAGAGCCTCCAGCAGAGTGGGAACCGGAGCTGCGGCCGCTCTCAAGCCAGCAGAGGAGTTTCCATTACAACCGTGGGACAGTGGCCTCCGTGGCCCTCTGAACCGCGCTGCCCCGTAGAGTCTGTCACTGTGGGGTTGGTGGCCTGCTGGTGTTTGACCTGCTGCCCAGAGCAGCCTGGCTGAATTAAGGGGCCTGAGGCCCCAAGCCACAGGCCATGCCACCTCTTCTCAGCTGGGAAAGGAAACAGGGGGCCGTGGACACCCCACGGTGGCCTCCCCTCGGGAGGTGGGGAGCAGAGCGAGGGCCAGCTGCTGCTCCCAGCCCAGTGCTCACAGCCAGAGCAGACCGGCGGCTCCCCAGACAACACCACTTCTCAATTCAGCCAGAGGAAGACTCCGGAGTGGCCCGGCTGGGCCGACCTCCCGCTCGCTGGGCTTGCCCGGTGCCTCCTGGCCCAGAGCAGGGAGCCCGGGAGCAGAGGGGTCAGAGAGCGGGCCCCAGCCTGATGGCCCCGAGGCCTTTTCCACACTGAGACGCAAGGCCCACCCGTCTCTGGGGTGCGTCTAGGACGTGGGGCAGCAGCAGGCCCGGTGATGCCTGTGTGCCTGCCGGGTGCAGGGGGCAGCTGACCTTGCCCTCGAGAGGCCCCAGGAGGATGCGGGACAGCTGGACCCTGCCCAGACCCTGGCCACATTCACCCCGAGTTCCAGCCCCTGGGTTCTGACAACCACTCAGAGTGCTGTGAAGACAGAGACCTAGCTCTCCCAGGGGGCCCTGCACACAGTAGGCGCCGAATAAGTGATGGGTCCTGAGCTGGAGGGGTGCCCCCACGTGCACGGTGGGCAAGGTAAGCCAGCTCGCAAGAGAGCCACATCTCAGGGGTTCCCCAGATGCTGTGGCCAGGGCTCCAGCGACCCGAACAGCACGTCTGCTCCCTCAGGCCTGGCCCTCGGCAGGGCCCCTGGGGACGGCTTGTGGTGCCAGTGCCCTGCCCTGCCGTCCTGGCCGTGCCCCCTGCAAAACCCCAGAACCCTGGCTCCTGTGCCTTCCAAAGGCTGGCTCATCTCTGGGCGAAGGGAGGATGACGGGCCAGTGGGGCTCCGGGGCCAGGCCTGGCCGCTGGGGAGTGGCTCAGAGCGCCCGGGGCCTAGAAGTCCCTCGGTGCACCCAGGACCCCTGCTGAGCAGACGAAGCATGAGGTGCTGAGGGGCCGGTCTCTGACTTCACTGACTGCCTGGTTTGCCTGGCACCGTATCCAGAACACCAATGAAAACTCATGGCCCAGGTGAAGGGGGTGGACGGCCCCCAGCCCCTGTCCAGGGCTGCAGGGCGTGCTCGGCCTGACCTCTGTCCGCTGCCCGCCCCCCGCCACTGCCCATGGCAGGGTCCTGCCTACATCCGTCGTCGGAAATCTCTCCACTCCAGTAGCCTCATTCCCAAATGGGGAGTGAGCCTCACCTGCTCCCCTGAGCTGGCTCTCACCTGGCTCCCGCCCGGGTCTGAGGGTCAGTGCCAGCCAGGCTGTGTGGCGTCCCCCAGTGGGCACCGTCCAGCACGGTCCTGGCCCGGTCTCCACCTCCACCAGGCCCAGCAGCGCCTCTCTTGCCCCTGGAGAGGTGGGCCCCCTCTGCTCAGCTCGGGAGTCGCAGCTTGCCCGCCTGCGGGCCGATCCGTGGCCGGCCCGTGTCCCCGCCCCAGGCCCCTCTGCAGGGCTGCCGAGCTCGGCCAGCTGGCAAAGGCGGAGCTATAATTACCTCTCCCCTTTGGCAGAAATAGCAGCGACCCCGAGGACAGGCCGCCGGCCCCGGAGCGGGAGAGGAGGCGGCCGTTTCCCAGGCCCTGAGGACACAGGCCAGGCCTGCAGACGAGAAGAAGGGTCAGGGACCTCCTGCCTGCCCTCCAGGCCCGCATGCATCCTCCCAGGCCGGCTCCAGAGTTGTGCGGCTCTTGGAAAACACAAGGGCTGGAATCAGAGACAGGCAGAGGCAGAGGGTGGGGCAATGAGGGGACCAGGTCCGAGGGAGACCAGTGCCTGTGGCCACAGGCCTGGGGCGTGGGCGGCTCCCTGGGGGGTGGGTGTCGACCAACCCCGGGCCGCCCGGCGGCGTGGAAAGACCCACACTGTCTGCTGGGTGTGGAGGACATAAAG